GGGAAATAAAAGTATTTCCAAATGCATGATTTTAAAATGGAAAAATGTCTCTACTTTGTTAGTCATAAAATCCATGCAGTTTCTCCATGCTGTGCATCTGAATGAGCATGGGAAAGAGAACAATAGTCATTGAAACATGCCAAATTAATTCCATTCCAGAATTTTGTCTCTGCAAGCAAGAAACTAGGCGGGGGATGTTTACAAATCTTATTTCCTTGATTTTTGTTGGTTTTGCATTTCCCACAGCAAACAGCAATAGCAGCAGAACTTTATTTTCCAAGTGTTTAGTGAAGAACTAGGCTAGCTTTCTTGTCATGACAAAGCAGAGTTCAATAGGTGAATAATTGGCATAAATACATGCAAGATACAGATTTTTTACATTTTTCAGGATTAATGGTTACCAGGTGTTGGAACGCTAGTAAATTGACTTAAGAGCCTGTTTATATAATGCATCTTTACATACTGAAATTTAAATTAAAGATAATAGCACATATTAGTATCCCTCTGTCTCCTACCCAGTCCTGTAAAATCCACACACAGAGTCGTGGCTTAGAAGATACGTGCTTTGGGTATAAGGACCCTCAAGATACACGCAAATTTCTTAGTCAGCAATTGTCTTTAGAAGAACTGCATTATAGACATGTATGCACAACTATTATGGAGTGACCAGTGTATCACTCCCTCTTGATGTCTGCCACTCACTGGGACAGTAAGTGAGATTTTCTCCTGAAAACCACTGCAATTTTCATTTCAGGGCAGGGTGAGACATACTCGGTCTGACAAATTGTGACTGTTTCCATGTTGGGAGTTTAGCCTGTCCCAGAGCACCAAGGCAGGCTTAAATCACCTTATATCAACATGTAAAAGTCTAGCTTAAAACTTGGGATCCAGATTTAGAGTTTCTGCTCGTTAAGAATACTACCACTTCAGTATCTCTACCTTTGCAACCTCCTACTTAAAATGTACCCCAAAGCCTCAATGCTTTCCTTCCACAAACTACCTCTCCACAGTCTTATATGGTCCAAGAAGACATAACAGCAGTTCATCACTTAGTCTCCCTACCATTTAACATATCTCCTGCAGCTAATGAAAGAACCAGGAAGCTTATTTTCCCAAGTACTTAGTGACATCATACCATGAACACTTCCAATGAGCCTTAAGACCATGGTATATATACACAACCAAGGAGAGAAATAAACTAGACTTGTACAAAATGTAATAATAGAAGAAGTGGCTTGAAATGGTTAAAAAAAGTCAGTGAAATATAAAGGTTTTTCCCCTGCTGCTCAGTAAAGGTCACTTAAGTTGCTTTCTCTTCATACAGGTTCTTTATGTGTTAACAATGTTCATGTCACTGTTGCAGAGGGGTGGGGGGTGAAATCAGCTGCCATGGATGAACTTTTTTATGGTACAAGCCCAAGTCCAGCATGCCTGAAAACACTGAGAGATTGTGAGCTATATAGTGCATCCATGTATAGATAGCTTTATTCACCCTCTGCGTTTATTGCCCCCACCCTGTCCCCCAGCTCTCTTTCAGGTTCATGACTCAGAATGCTAATTGCCCAGTTTTTGTTTCGGGCTGGCTGACTGGCTGTCAAGCCAATTCTATTGCCTATTTGACAAATGAGCTCTTTTGCCTCCCTGCAAAGCCTGTAAGGAAGGTCACGAGACTCTGTAGTGTGCTTTTTTTCTTCTTTAAAACAAAGTTTAAAAGGGAAAATTAAAGCCAACTTAGCCAAAAAAGATAAACTAGCCATCAAACCCACAAATCCACCCCAAACTGTTTTCCTGTGACAGCTAACAGGATTTCTGTAAAATGTAGATTATTCCTTTACATCCTACATTTTTAATGTGGCCTGGCATGAGATCTTTTTAACTTCAAAAGATTCTGTGAAGCAGCAAAAGTATATACAAGTTGATGGCTGGGTTATAAAACAACACAGCTGGCTATAAAGCCACACAATGCAAGGCAGAAGTAAATCAAAATCTTCCCCACCACCAAATCAGTTTACAGTAGAGGAGTCCTTCTGAAGATCCAACCCTGCAAAAAAACCTTACAAATTTATGTTTACGCATTATACAATAGCAGCACCAAGTTCAACTTTGACAAAGACTTCGTTCATTAGGACAACAGCATTTTTCACAGAATGGCTGAAGTTGGAAGGGACCTCAGGATGTCATTTGGCCACGTAGAGCTGGCTGCCTAGGACCACGTCCAGACTGCTTTTGAATATCTCCAAAAGGGGAGAACACCACATCATCTCTTGGCAAACTGTGCCAGTGCTCGGTCACCCTCACAGTAAAGAAAGTGTTTCCTGATGTTCAGAGGGAACTTCTGCGCTTCAGTTTGTGCTCATTCCCTTTGTCACTGGGCAGCACTGAAAAGAGCCTGGCTCCATCCTCTTCACATCACCCTTCATGTATTTATAAACAAAAAATTCCCCCAAGCATGCTCTTTTCTGCTTTCTCAGCCCTTGCTTGTAGGGGAGATGCTCCAGTCCCTTAATCATCCAGACAGCCCTTTGCTGGACTCTCCAGTATATCAGTGTCTCTCTTGTACTGGGGAGAACTGGCCTAGCTGTGGCCTCACCAGTGGGCAGAGGGGAAGAATCCCCTCCCTCAACCTGCTGGCGACACTCTTAGTACAGCCCAGGACAGTTAGCCTTCTTTGTTGCAGGGGCATAGTGCTGGCTCACGTTGACTTTGTGTACACCAGGACCCCATGTCCTCCTCTGCAAAGCTGTTTTGCTGTCTTACAATACACCATTATAACAGCCCATAATGCCTACAAGATATCCAGGCCAGCCTTAGGCACAAAGCAGTCTAGCTGGAGAAGCGCTTTTCAGTTAAGTTACAGCTCTCTCAAGTCTTTGGCTTCACTTACATGGCCTTCCCCTCCAACGCTCCAGATGTAGAGAGAATAACACTGCCTGGGATGTAACTGATCTGCCCCCCACTAAGTTGCATGGGATCTATTGAATATTTGGAGCTTGATCTTCCTGACTGCAGGTTCTGGCCATTGCCAGTCCTCTAGAGAGCTGAGTGAAAGAAAGGTCTCAAATTGGCTTGAAACAAATCCATTTTTCCATAATTCCTGGTACAAAAATCAAGCTGCCTGTGCTCAAGAGCTCTGCAATTCAGCCATACCTATACTACCTTTTAGTTGATACAACCATGATGAAACAGTCCACACTAAGCACTGCAGGACACAACAGATAGAGAAGCTGGGGAGATGCTTATTTTCAAGGACAGACCCATGCTCTAAAACAATATTTATTAATTTCTACAGAAAAACCTACTATATATGGAGCCTGAGCTAATGCATATTAAACTGCTCAAGGTGGTTTTGTTTCCTTGTCTTAAAAACAACACAGCGTTTTCTCCCACTTTCAGGCACTGGTTAAAAATGGTTTAAGATGACTTTATAACAGATGTTCAAATCTCAAGTGAAAACATGAGCTTTGGCTTCTAACTATTAGCAATTATGAATTGAATGCATTTTTTCCTAGGAAGGGGAAGGTGCGCTTTCCCATATAGAAAATATGTAAAACCTAACAAACCATTATTCTGCCAGAACACCCTCTAGCTGTAGAGCTGGTACGCTTTAGATTTCAAACACTGGACTATTGCTGTCTTCCCTTTACCTGCTCATTCATTCTAAAGAGGAATCATTTGTATTATCTACTGAAATGATGAAAAAAAAGTTAAAATCTCTTCTAGAGAGCTACTCCAAAGTAAAGTTCATCTCTAGGGCTTAGATATAGGTATAAGTTCTGCACATACGCTCAGCATATTAAATAAAACTTTTTTACATCTTTGCTGAATGGAAAAAAAAAAATCACAGCACCTCTTTCCAAGTCTATTCGAGGCATCCAACATAGTATGTAAGTATATATATGAGTGTATGCAGTGTGAGTTAAATAATATCCCATTACAATTTGTAATTATCTATATCCAAGGCACATGCACAGAGTAATAAGAATCTAAAAGTTAACAACTCACTTCTGAACCAGCAAAATTTGTCCTGAATTTTTAAGTAGCAAGACTCAAATGCTTCCAATGTGTTATTTGTTCTGCCGCAAGCAGCAATTATGCCTCAAGTGAACATCAATTTGTAACTTAATGTTTTCCATTAAAAGAAGAAAAAAAAAAATCATTATGTAACTGAATACCATACCACCATTGTTATCAGCCAGGTTGTATTATTTTCAGTCTTTTAAACAAAGAAAAGGAAACTCTGGATTTAATTTTAGCTGTTGTCTTTTAGCAAGCCAAACTCTTAAACCAGTAACCCAACACATACTGATTTGTTTTGTTTATTATGGCTCGGTATTTTACATTCTTCCTAAATTTTGCAGCAAGCAAACTGAAAATTAGACTCTGGTTCACAAATGTTTTCTCTTTCCCCATCCCCCTTTTTCTTCCCTTTTCCAAGTTTTTATAGTCTTGCAACAGCGAGTTCCAACGAACAGTTTTATTTGCACAAGAAAAAACAATAGTTATTCTGTGTCTGATTTGGCTTGGGTTTGGGGGTTCATTTTGTTTTGGTTGTTCTTTTTTTTTTTCCTGTTGTTGTTTAAGAAGAACAGCAATTAGCAATTAAGGCTACAAAGCTGAGGAGTCTTATTTTCAGGAAGCTGCCCTCTGAGACACGTAGACTCCCTGTCCATTCCTAGGGACACATAGAGCAGAGACACACTGCCAATACTGCCTTCAGTGGACTGTTCTAGTGTCTTGAGCTGCAGTTTGAGCACACATGGATTGAAATGGTTATTTTATGTGCAAGTGTCAGCCATGATTTCTTGCCAAGGCACTCTTGGGAAAGATGCCAAGGATCTTCCTCTAGGTGAGCTGAGCCAAGGTTTTATTTGACAGAGAAGCATGATTTTGTTTCAGTAGAAACTGTGTGGACACAAAGTGTGCAGCATGTTACTATTGCAATATTTCATTAGAAAAAGAGAAAAAGGAAAAACATGAGTTTGGTGCTATGTTCAACTTACCTTTTCATTCCATGCCCACAATCCAATCCCAAGAAATGCTATGCCAAGGAACTAAAGGGAAGAAAAAAAAAATATATCAGAGCAGGAACTGTAAAGTTTATGGACTTTTTTTTTAAAAAAAAACTTGCATTTTGACTTATCCTCTCTGTTGGATAATCAATTTTAATCAGGACTTTAGGGGCTTACCAAGAGTTTTAAAATATGTATTTGTTTATTTTACAAATCAACCACTATAACTGGAAGAATTTAAAAATTGCACAGCTCATTCAGGGATGTTCCTCATAGAAATACTAGGTGCAATAAGTGTCACTTTCTCAGCATCAAGCAAATAAGGTTCTTTTTGAGCTTGTCAGACTCAAAGAAAACTCCACAGCCAAGCAACACATTATTTTACTGTTGTATTAGCACCACCTGCACAAAACAACTGTCCTCACAGCTTTCTCCCAGTGAGAGAAAGTGATTAAAAGAAAGTTCTACATAGACACATACTATCTGTTTTATCAATGTTGTCCACAGAAACATAGAAAACTGTTTGAACATAATATAACCCATGAATTCAGGAAGAGAGGGAGGGGAGAATAAAAACAATACTGGTCTAAAAGAGTAAGAATTGTTAACAACCCTCAAGACAACATGTTAAAATTTTTCTGAGACTGGATATTTCTGTTTTGTAAAGGAAATAACAGCCCCTTTCTCCTCCAAGGGGCTTAAAACACCCAACTCAAAGGACAGTGTCTCTCCCCCATGACAGAACAAGCAACAGCACCTATGATTTTGTTATGTCCCTGTATTCTCTGCTCCACTAAATAATTTAGAGGGCATCATTTCCCTCCAAATACTACAGGGTTTCCATAAGAACTCCATGCTATAGGTCGGTGAAACAAGCAGAACAGGAACAATAACCACTCAATTTCCCAACATCACTGCATATTTGGCTTGATACAGTATCAATTCATGTAGAATGTTTAAAAAACATTAGTTGGTGCCTGAGCACATCTCTAAATGTCCATCTCTCCAACTTCAATCTCTAGTTTTTTTAACATCTAACACTAGCTGCAAAGAAAACTATGTCCACTCTAGTTTCAGTGCATGTAATGGAATATTGCTTGAACATCAAACTCTGGTTTCCTTTGTGGTTTTTCCACAACACAGTGTACAGATTATTTTTGGCACATTGTATGCTTTCTCTTAAGTTTTGTGTAAACATTTAAGTATCCTAATGATTTTTGTTTTGCAAAACAGGACAAAAGTGTTTTTCTGTTAAGAAGTGGGAGGGGGCAGGAATATCAACTTAAGCTTTCCCAGAAATTACTTCAACAGCTTGAAAGCAAGATTCCTTCTTCTTTATACACACTTTTTTTAAGTGGCAATTTTAACTTTATACTATAAGAATATCTGTGAAGCATAACTCAACGCTCACTGGAATACCCTGAAGTTCCCTAACATCCTTCACATCTCTGTGACTTTCTCCTCCAATAGTGCTTTGCCAGCTGAGCAAAGGACCATGCATACTACACCCACCCGGCTCACCCAGAAGCCCATCTATACTAACTGGTGGGAATGAAACTCTCTTTTTTGAAGAGTCATGACTGTAAATTTAAACGATAGTATAAGACAGCATTCTTCAAAGGGAACTGTCATAGGCTTGGCTATACTAAATACAAGATAAATGGAAATTTTTCCTAGGTGGAAAAACACAACCACAGGTCAAGAAAGTCTGTTTGAGCAGCCTTAATTGCCTATAAAGTACAAGAAATGGACTTGAGAATGTCAAACTCTCAAGCCTCCTGAGAGGCTTCACGTGAGCCAAAAAACATCATCTTACCTGTATCAAGACTGCTCTTTCTATGGTTATAAAGCTTGCCTAAAGAGTGTGTGTAATCCTTCTGACTGCAGGAAACAAGATAAACCTGTATGAGTTTCCAAATCGCTTTCAGACAAATGCAGTTAAGTTCTTTTTTTTGCAGTAACAGGCTCCTTTCCTTTCTTCTTACACAGCCAAAGGCATCAAGGTTGAAAGAAAAAGAGTGAGGGAAAAAAAAAGCTATATTATTATAAAAATCCATAATCTGCATTTGGAAGCAGCAAATTGTTATTTGTAGAGAGGTACACAACATTATGTTCTGTGAATAGCTCAATATGATTTTGAACAGAATAAGTGTGGAAAACTAGAATGAAAGAATTTGATCAGTGCCTACAGATGTAATTTAACAGTCATACGCATCAGCTGCAAGTCTGGCTCAGGTAGTAGACTAAACAGGTCTCTGACCAACCTCAACTCAATTTACAGATTGGGTAATGAGACTGTACTATACCAAGCTGAACCACCTAAAAAACTGAGAGTATCAAACTTCTGGCAAGCTTGTCAAGAAAAACCAGGAAAGCGAGTTCTTAGAGTTTTCAAGAGGATCAAAGAATGACATGCTGCTCAGTGCTCTCCCCATCTCAAAACAGAAATCTCTGTCCTTTTGAGCAGCTGATGAAACAAGAACAATGGACAAGATCCATTAGGAGAAAGGTTCAGGATGGAATCACAAAGTCTTTATCACGGAATGCTGTGGAAGTCAAAAGCTTAATGGCATTCAGAAACAAGATTAGATAAATGAATGGAGGGTCCATAACTACTGAAAAGTGATTTTGATACAGCTTCTGGCTCAGGAAGTTTTTACACTGTTGCTCATTAGACTATAATCAGGAAAAGATTACTGCATGCACGTTTTGTTGCTTAACTGCCTTTTTCCTTGGGCAAACTCCACTTGCATTACTTGAGACAAAATACAGAGGTAGGCAGACCACAGACCCAACCCCTACAGTCAAGGCCCACCCTTGCACGAACACAGCCTGCTACAGGGATGAAACACACAGGAACGTCTTCAGTAATCCCCACTGGCAGAAGACAGATGTTCATGAGGAGATTTACACCTCTCACCAGGATTAATTTTGGATTTGCTTGACAGTTATGAAAGAAACTTCTGCATATCCTTAAAAAAAAAAGTTGGAAGCGCTTAGCAAAAATCCCTCTGTATTTTTGCTGTTAGAGCCAGAAGTTAAACAGGACACATATCCTGCTTATCTTGCAGCCCTTTTGCGGGTGTCTCCAAGACAGTCTTGTTCTGCTTTTGCTTGAAACCAGAAAGCAAATCTCTTCACATCAGAAGCACACGAAGAGAGGGTGAGACGGCATACACATCATCTCAGTTAAGACTGGAAAATTTAATTTACATCCATTAGATTATTCCAATGAGTAATAAAAAGGTGGAAGTTTGCCTCATTATCTACAAAACACTCTACAGAGAAAAGCAGTCTCAATTCTCCACAGACATCCAGAAAGACCATTTAGCCTAACTATAAATGGTCACCGGATCTGGGGCACAGCTTGTAAAATCTTCATACTTTTCTTTTTTAAACCATAATTCGCAGGAGAATATTAAAATATTCCTCTGGAGTGTTACAGCCTTACAAAACTTGCATAGTAATACTTTCTCAGCCATAGGTTTTCTATTCATAAGCATCAAATGTGTTCAAATTTCTATAAGAGAAGTATCTTACTCAGGCACATATCTTACTCCCAGTCTTGCCTGCATGGAGGAAAAGGATTCTTTGTTGCTAGGGAAACAGCATCATACAGCACAGCATTTCATTTAAAGGCTGCTGGGGTAAATACTAATGTAAATGCTAGATAAAATTTGAGAGAGAGGGGAGCTTAATTGTAGAGCGATCAGATGTTACTTGACATACCGGATTTTTCATCTCAGCTGATAACTTGGCACCAGTTTTCAACAAAAAGTACAACAGCCGCAGGCCAAGCAGTAAAAGGTTGGTTAATGGACCACGTGCATCAACGTGTTTGTCCACGTGTGGGTACATTAAAGACTTGTGCGAGAAGGAACCATAGTGCAGCCACCCAATTTCACCTTCACCACAACAATATGAATGTATAAGCAGAAGCATGTCAAAATTGTCAGAGTTTAGAAGCAGGGCTTCCTCACAAGAGCCTTTTTTTTTTTTCTTTTTGAGCTCTGTATTCAGGCAGTGTGAAAACCTCCCACCTGCCCTTGCTTTGAGCTGCCACAAGAACTCTATGCACAGTGTTAGCAAGGAGACTATGAGGATTCCTATGGGCACTTCAGTGTTTCTTACACAGCAATACACTGTAGGTTATTCACAAAGCAAGGTTTCCTTCTGTGCGATTCAAGCCAGCACAGCACAGAAACGCAAGGTACAGTATTTTACTGACAAGCACAGCAGCGATTAGGACAACATGAAGTGTAGTATTTCACATCCTGAAATACAATCAGGAAAACACAGGACTTCTGGGCTTTGTACAAATATAAAGTAACACCGACTAGTTCCTGACTCCTCTGCAGTACTTTGAAATCTCTCTGAGTCTGAGCACAAAGTCAGAATAGTCACTTTCTTTGAAGTGTTTTATGCCAGATCAGTTTTTTGTTTTTTTAAGCCTGGGCAAAAAGGAGCTTAACGTCTGTCAGAGGATTCTGTTGCTGGTTTTGTTGATTGTTTTTTAGTAGCCCTGGCAGAGAAAGGGCACCAAAACAGAAATTAAAATGAAGTTTCACAGTTTCCTTCTTCCCTTCATGCCAAGGATGTATACGACGCTTTGAATACATCAGTTAGCATTCTTTCAAACAAAACAAATAGAACATCCTCTCAACTCTCCAGCTTTCACCTGGACCAGTATCACAAGGAAGGAAGGTACCAGTCTGCCCTGTTCCTTCTTCCATTCATTCTAGTTCTAATAACTTTCCCATTCTCAACACAAACTGTTAGAGCATTTCATTTTCATGTGGATAATCACACGTGGTGACCATGGAAAAGGCTCAAAGCAAAAATTGCTCAAAGCATACATACACAACTACATATTTATCCTAATGCTTACAAAGAATGCCTTCCCCTAAAGCCCCTTTTTTGTTTGCCTTGAGACATTATCAGCAGGAAAACTCCATGTACTACCGCCAGTGAATGAAGATGTTGCGTAGGTGACTAATTACCATTTTGGTTCACAGCAACATCTGGATATAGACTAGAAGACGTCAAATCTATATCCATTTTATGTGCAGCTTTTAAAAAAACATTAAACTATATTCCACAGATAACTGTCTCGGTAATACCTTTTCCCTCCCAATACAACACACACACAGAAGAAAGATCTCAGTTTCCACACATTTTGCTCAACTGAATCAGAGACGTGACTTGATTTTATAGAATCACCCAAATTAGAAAAACAGACAGAAGAACACAATGAGAAAAGGTGCGTGTTCCATCTTGCAGGACTCTTAGCATAATGTTTTCCAATAAAAAATTAAGCCCCTATGACCCCAAATTTTCAAAGCAAGGTACTGTGGCTGTTACGGTATATTTCATTTTCACCAACTTGGTGTTTTCCATTTTGTCTGACAACTAAGCAACAGATACATATATACACATCCCCAAATTAAAGCTTTCTCCAGTTCTTTAATTGCAAAAGCAAGACATCTGCTTTCTGTTACTGTTGTTCTATGTATTTATTTTATTGCTTTTTGGTGGTGCAATTGTAAGCACTGCCAATCAGCTTGGAACAAGAGTCGCTAAAGAGTGAAGCCCCTCTCCTTTCGTCCACAGAAATTGATATACTGGAAAACAGAAAAAGGAGGATGAATTAGACCCTATTTCCCCTGTTCCAACTTTTGAACAACTCCCCTCAAGCCTGGAGAAAATAAATTTAACTCTTTCCAAGTTCACAGTGAGACTCTCTACACTCAGCTCCCGCTGTCTAAACAAAATACTTTCTTTGGAGCGGATTTTTTTAAAGCACACAAAACTTAGACATAGCAATCACTTTGTAAGATTCTTCAATAAAAGCTTTTGGGAGTTTGAAGTTTTTGTTTCTTTGAGATCTAGCTAATTTCCTAAAACCAGTACCTTTTTCCCCCATACAAAAAAAAAATAAATCAAAGACCTTTAAGGCAAATACTCTCCACCACTGCTACACAGAAACATTAAAAAAAGCCTACAGAATTGAAGTAACAGCATCATCATTCTCTGTAACTTTGGTACACTCATCTTGCTCAGATCCTTTCCGTTCTCTTCTACTCTTCTTTACACTATCTCTTGGTCATTGTTTCACTGTTACCTCTTTCTCTGCTCTCCCTGAGCCCAAAAGACTAGGTGGGAAGACTGAGAAATCCTGCTGCACACGTATCTCCATGGCTTCTTCCCTGCCTTCATTCCTGAACTACATTAAGTGTTCCATGTCCCTCTACTTTTCCTATCCAGCCTTGCTCCTTTCATCAATACCATTCCATCTCTGGTTCAGCCCTCTCCACTGCAGCTTCTCTGTCTAATGTCAGTTTCTATTTTTAAAACCATCCAAAAATTATGTAAGTGGTGCTGCAGCAGTGTATGAAAACAGTACAGGCTTAAAACTCAACCACAAGCAGCAGAAAAGTGCAAAATGAAAAGATGATATCTGAAAAAAATCCAAACCTGAATTTCACATCCTATATCAGTAGGCTAATAATTTCTCTTAGCCAATTTGACAACTTGGAGAAATAAGGCTTCTCATTCTGAACCACAGGTAAGAAAAAGTATAAAGGCAAAGAAAACATATTCTGCTGGGGTGAAGTGCCTGAAAGCAGTATTGCAAATGGGTCATTCTCCAGGTCTGTCTTGCTGCCTAGGGCTAGCAGCTTCCTACCCCAGAGGGCAGCAAGACTCCTCCAGCTCTCCTCTTCCTGCCACTGCGATGATCTCATTTGTCCCAAACCACCCTACCTGAGCTTCAGGCTATTTAGGCACAGCCCCACCATGACACTTTTTCATATTCTTTTTCTGAAGCTACTGCTCCATTAAAAAAAATAAATTAAAAAAAACTACAACCACACTACACACAAGAAAAATCCCATAAACAGAGCATACATGAAATTCTTATTATGAAACTGATATACAAATGCTCATTTATTTCACCTACAAGCAATTAAGTTGTAACATCTAATTCAGGCATTTGATACAGCAAACAGAAAGGATCTGAGCTAGTCTTTTTCCTTACTAACAAATGGGCAATTACATTGCCTACACAATTGATTGAAGTACACGAGAACATAAAGAGTGCAGAGTCAGGAAACACAAACAGGTAGGCTTGTCAGCACAGCATGATACTCTGAATGCTCAGCATGTGCTTTTCAGAAAGTAGTCTCAGCTCCCAGCTGTGCCTGTAGCTTGCAGAGAGGGAGTCCCAAAAACCTTCTACCCCAGCTACACAAGCTGCTACATCCCAGGCCTTTTCAATGGACTATACTCAGAGATCCATTCTCTGCTTAGCAGAGAAGGGAATGCATGTGGAGGATGAGGGAGGCATGAAAAGACTGAATCACTGTAAGTGAACATCACCAGATTTACAAACTTGTACCAAACAGTTTAATCTTGCTTTCCTACTTAAAAAAAACCAACAAAGAAAGAAAGAAAACCCACCAAACAACCAACCAACCATGACAGCAAAGACAGTGAACACAGGGCAAACAGTGAACGCACACCCAACCTACAGGCATACATAGAACTTTTTCCAGCAAATTCTACAACAGCTTTATTGCCTCTTACCTTCACCAAATTCCTGGTTCGTTTTTTGGGGTCCCCCACAGTAAGATGTTCAAAGCCACTTACAAAGTAACCGGCACCATACATGAAGAAATCATAACTTGAAAAGGTATGAAGTGATTCACTACAATTTCATAACATGCCAGAAGCTGATCTCAGGTATCCAAAATCATAACCTCAATACGATGTGACTGTATAGCCTATCACACCTCTCCCCAGATTAAATCTGACTCAGAACTATAAATTCTGTAATGGCAAATACACATATTTATGGCACATGTTGATATTAAAATAAATCTACTTCTAACAGTCATTGCACCAAGCACTGGGGGGGGATGGAGCAAAGAAGAGGACACAGAGGGGGCTGTGGCAGGTTTATGAAAAGTTATTTGACAGCTTAGGAATGCTTCGCTTTACAAAGATGCAGCCAAGAGCACACAGAGACCAGTAATAGTTTGTCAACGTAAGCAAAAGCATAACCCCAAAAGTCATACCAACTGTGTGTATGTGTGCCTGTGCAGACCTTGGTTTTTCAGGGATGTGAGGAAAAGAAAAAGCCAAAACACTAATTAGGCAGGTATCAAAATTATTTTCCAATAACCATTCACAATTATTATCAGCAATCCAGATGCACAAAGTCAAATAAGACACCTTCTGTAAATACTGAACAAAATTCTTTATGGGTTTGCACCTTGTAAGCCTTGCAGAAGAGGGAAATGTCTCTAAACATTTTAGCCCCGTCAACCCTCGATGTTTTCTGTATACTACACTGTAACTGCCCAGAACTAAAAAAAATCAGATTGTATTAGAAATGCTTGTGTAGACCTTCCAGAGGCACCAGGTCATCTGTGGACCTGAAAAAATGTCTGTTCCAGATAAGGTCATTCAGCTTTGCATTTTGTCTTGCAGTACACGTTGCTTTTCACTAACTCTAGAAGCTACTGCATATGTCCCAGTGTAGACTATACAAGGTTATTCACAAAATTAAGCCACATTTTTACTTATGTCAAAATTAACCAATGCTTTATTAGCTATTTTTATACTACAAGATACCTAACTTCCAATAAAATTAGAATTTGCAGGAGTTGACATCAATTTGTCATTTCTTCATTAACACTACTCGGCAGGGAGCAAAGCAAACAAAACCGTGACTTCAATTTCTTTTCAAGCAAAAGCAACATGGAACAAACCTGAGGCAACTAACAATGTTATTTACCTGAAGCTTTTACTCATAGACAGAAGTTCCACAGTTTGGTAGTGGAAAAAAGAGAGCAGCTATAAAACAGCTGCTTGTCCAAATGAAACAGACCACTGACCCTTTGTCTTGTTTTCTGACAAATAATAGAGGTGCTTTTGATGCTGTCTTTCTCAAAAGAGGCATCAGGGGCTTGACTAAACATGTAGGCAAAAAGCTCTTCACTTCTGTAAAGGTGTCCCTTCAAATCACAGTTGCTTAATGTGACATGGCAGCCTGGGGAGGTTTTACTGGTGATACCTTTGCTGGAGATATATACAGTGCTATTGCTGCAATTTAATTTGAGGGTGTTAAACTTGCTTTAAGAATAAATGTGTTGAAGAAACCAAACTATATTGTAAGATTTCCAGTTCACTGTGACAGAGCCTAATGTTCTCGCATAATTTCAGCTTGACCAACAGGATGAGCAATACCAAAAATGCTCATAGGCTAACTACAAACTTTTATTCACAATTTATTGAACTACATTCTTTCCATAAACTATAGTTCCTGATGAGTCCTTTACTTTTGCCTACTGTTACACTTCTCTGGTTTGCACAAACACGAATAGCTGATCCCTCCTGTCAACACATATCAGGAAAACAAGGATTAGAAAATTTCTTTGAGAGATGTGGAAATGTAGTTGTAGTACATACAGATGGCTCCCTAAGAGAAAAAGCTATAAAAAGCAACTGACGCTGCCTCACTAAGATCCTTCTGCTGCATAGCTGTGCTCTTGCAGTCAGTCAGCCTTTGCCTACCCCCTCCCTTCCAGGATGAAGGAGGTATTCTGGTATTATGAAGATGACTTGCAAGAGAGAGTGCATGTGCCAACCAGATAATCTCATTTTCTTCCTTATCCGTAAAAGCCCAGCGGCTCTTTTAAGGTCCCACCTTATTTACTTGTAGATGGTCATTACCAAGGAGGACAGTAGCTCAAGGCTGTGGAAGCTTTGGAAACACTAGAATGATCTTAAAAGTCTTCATGTCACAGCTCAGTTGCTAAACAGGGTCCCACATTAAAAAACAAAAAAAAACCCCACAAACAAAACCAAAACAAAAAAACCCACACACACAACACCAAGGAAAACCACCATCCAGCAACAAACACAATAAAAAACCCCAGCAACCATGCACAGAGAACTGGATTTGGTTTGACTTCCTGCATTCACCCATAATTTTAACTTGGTTCAGCAACTACAACTTCTCAGGTAGGAAAAGTATCTTGTTACTTCTTGCTCAA